CCTTGAGAATAGTAAGAAAGTCATAGGTTCTAGTTTTTAATGCATTAAATAGGAATAATTCTTTGTCAAAACATATCCCATTACATTTATAATCTAATCTTCAAATCGCCATGTAAGCTTCGCCCCGCCTGCATTTTGCAAATAGTCCATCAATGTGCTAGTTTTTAATGCATTAAATAGGAATAATTCTTTGTCAAAACATATCCCATTACATTTATAATCTAATCTTCAAATCGCCATGTAAGCTTCGCCCCGCCTGCATTTTGCAAATAGTCCATCAATGGTTTAGCTAGTTCGTTATTCTTAATATTTGCAGTTTGAGATCTTTATATTGTGTGTAGTAGAAATGGCCTGGACAAGTGTTCATTGTTAATATTCCTCAGATATGGGAATATCTGTTCCACATCAGAGATCTTGGTTCTAGGCCTTGAGTGGGGAAAGACCCATCCTGATAGATGATCTGCTGTTAGATGAAGTGCTTTTGGTTGTGCCACAAGACAGGGTCTTCTCTGGGCCAGTGCCCCAAATTGCCCTCCAATAAGAAACTTTATTAATATTTTACTGCCTCCTCCATCAGGCATTTATGTGCGGCCACTATAACAAATGTAATGAGATCTGTCATTTGTCTGTACTGTAGTCCCTCTGCTGGTGTATGATTATGTGGTTGTGCTTTGTTAATGCTTTACAGACATGGCTTTATATTGTAGTTACTAGTCTGAGGTTTAAATAAAAAACATGCAGGGTAAGCTACAAGTGAAAAGCTGCATTGAATATCCCTTTGAAAATATTCAAAATGAATGTGTACAGGAGAGAAGGGAACCTCAGCCTACTTTCACTAGTGGTTAATACATTAAGAGTAGTTTTTATTGCAAATATAAGTAGTGGAACTCAGGTGGAAACAGGTATAGCCAACAATGAGTCTGCTTTTACTTCCTCTTTCTCTGCTTCTCATGGAAGAACATTTTGGCTACAACCTGGTTTCGTGTTGTTTATAAACAATTGTTAAGCTATTTTAACAAAAAACCCACTGTGTGACACTTGATCACCCTCTATAAATGCATTTCACTCACAACAAAGTGAACCACATTCCTTAAGGAGAATACAGTTAAATCAAAAAGGTAAGGATTAGAGAAAGTTACTTGCCTATGTTAATAACAAGAAATGGAGAATAACCAAGGAACTTTATTTAGAATCATTAGTCAAGAAGTAGGGGAAGAAAAGGGGGCAAGGAGGTGGTACTCTGCAATTAAATTCTAGGCAAAGGAAAAACATCTCCCCACCTCCCACCCCAGCAAAATTCAGTGGAACCTAACTTCTAAATAAATGAAAGAGACTGAGAAGCTGGAATAAAGATTGATTTATTGATGCGATGGCCATAACTGGGACTTCTGAGACTGGACAACTACTGCCACTGGAGCTCCTTTCTGCTTTTTAGTAATTTCTCTATGATAACCATCAAATGTTAGGACTACCCAGTTTACCATTCATTCCTGAAATCTTTTTTAATTGTGTCACTATTAAAACCCTAGTGCTATGGTTCAGCCCAGAGAAATGATTTCACTTTTACTTTGGTTGTGACATAGCTTTTTAATTTTCACTTATGTATAGCTTGGAAGATAATACGTTTGTTGTAGTAAGTTTGGAGAAGGGCATACTTGTAGTAAGTTTGTTACAGTATTAGCATAAATAACATTTATTTTTCTGCTATTACTACATTTATTTACTTATGTATCACCTTTATTACTCACATAGTCCCAGTGTGCCAGCCTGCAGCAGTTAATTATATAAATGAAAATCCTAATTGATAAAATCCAACAATAATAAGACATTTAAAAACATCAAAACACAGTATAAATTCTATAAATAATGGCAATGCCACTTTTATATAGCAGTATGTGACTTTTCAATTAAAAAGAAACTACTAGGAGAGGAAGGCTTGAGTGTAGAAGTATTGAAGTTCCCTATTTGCAAGAAAACACTGCAGATGCAGTAATAGGAAGGTGGAACCTAGTATGATAGAAAGGATACAGTGATGATGTTGGCAAACAACTGGGAGGTTCAATATGCTCCATCAGCAGATTGGGACCTATGCTTGATAGGTTCTTCTTGGCGGCCATAAAAACAAAGCCAGGATCAGTATTGCTGTGGAAAATTTACCTCTAAGTAAAGCATTTCTACCAGCTGAATCATTTAGATTACACATTCTAAAAAGATAAATTGAAACCTACCTGTCCAGGATATAGACCAGTGTTTTCTATTACTGCTTTCTTAACTGAAGAATTGCTGTTTTTCACAGAAACAAATGTCTGCTTTTATGCTCATGGGCTATTATGCCTTGTTTATTTCTTTTCTCTTTCTCTATTCACCTCAAAAGAAGAACAGCAAGTATAAAGTTCCGTCTATTTCAGATTCAACAAGGATGTATACATTGTATTTTTCTTGTTTCCTTATCTATAGATTTTAAAAATAAGGACAGCATCACAGAAATGTGTAATCATAAGACAACTCAAAAAAATTTGACCAAATTACTTGAAAACCCTTTTTGTTTCCTTTGTCAAGGAATCATTTCAGAAACTGAAAATGAACATTTGTCAACTATCCCCTGTACAAAGTTCTATAATTATTGTCACATTGAGGATCTACATACTTGGTATGTAGTCTAGGAGAACTGTCATATCTTATCATTGTATTACAGATAGTCCTCAATTTACAACCACAATAGGACTGGAAAATTAGTTGTTAAACAGTGTGGTTGTTAAGCAAGGCATCACGTGACTGTACCCGATTTTATGGCATTTTTTGCAGTGGTCATTAATCATGTGGTTGTTAAATGAATCACACAGTTCCTCATTGATTTGGCTTGTCAGAAGCCAGCTGGGAAGGTCATAAATGGCAATCACATGACTCCAGGACACTGCAACCATTGTAATTATATGCTGGTTGCCAAGTGCCCAAATTTTGATCATGTGACCACAGGGACACTGCGATGGTTGTAAATGCGAGGACCGATCCTAAGTCACTTTTTTCAGCACTGTCATAACTTTGAGCGGTCGCTAAGTGAATGGTCATAAGTCAAGGACTACCTGTACAGTATTTTTACTAGGGCTTGATATTCAAAATGAAAAGCATCACATTACATGGAATGTTGCATTTAGTTTTTCTCTTTCTAGACAGAAATGAATTTGTTTTGACAGCATCTTCTCTTAGTAAGAGATGGTTGTCACATACACAATAATCTTGAGCTGGTGTATATTGGTCACAGAGACTGACAATTGGGTGGCAAATGTCCTATTTCTTACTTTCCTTGGAAATATTGCAAAATAGAATATACCTTGGGAATCAGAAGCTCATTGACTAGACTGCTGCAATATGCCTTACATAACACAGAAACTACAATTGGTTTAAAAGGCAGAAGCCCATTTGTTGGTTTATTGCGGACACTGCATTAACTCCCAGTAGTTTTCTAGGTACATGGCTTACTTCCCTGGTATATTCAGGATACTTCCTCAGGGTAGAACTGACCAGTCCTCTGTGTGCATTTTTGTTAGGGATGCTTGGTGTTCCCCACATATGGAAAGTAAGAACTGTGGGAGCCTCCAGACAGTACTTTTCCAGGTGGTTCTGATCCTGGCATTGTGGAATGGTATGTGAGAAAGACCTTAAGAAACGGGATGAAGAGATGCTGCCTAGGGAATGGTCAGATAAGAGAGGACATAGCCCATAGCTGCATAATGGGCAGAGAAAGAGGCTCAGAAGAGACCCTCCCTGACTTCTCCCTGGCTGTAAAGGAGATGGTGGGAGATTTGTACTTTCTGACTTGCAAGTTTCTGTTAATATGGCTTTGCAATAAAGTACAGTAAAAATAGCTCATCTGGTCATGTTTCCTGTCTGGTCTACCTGGGAAGGCTGGTACATTGCTTTTAGGGCTGCCAAGATAGAACTGTTCCATAGACCTTTTGAAATATGGTGCTATATTGCCATGATTGACTGTACTGGCACCTGTGATTGTTTCTTCATTGCTTTTATTGATTTGCGATTTTAATTATAGACCTATTTTCTATTTATACATATTGTGAAACATCACAATTTGCTCCAGTTTTGGTAGTATAAATGTGCAATAAATAAATAAATTTGACTCTCACTTCACAGTGGTCTCAAACTCCATAGTAAGTTTTTCAAGGGAACAATAATGGTCAGAATAGAAATTAGTATCCCTATTTTGAAAGTTCCTAGAGAAAATCTGTGGGGTCTCTAAGAGTTGACACCAACTTGATGGCACATAATCAGTCTATTTTAAAAGTAATGTTGGTCAGCCCCTTGGCTTCTGTTTAACCAATTTAAGTCTGGGAACATTTAACAATTACACTATGATTTATTGGGCTGAGACTGTAAGTGGAAGTTTGGCTCCCAACCTAATGGAGCAATTCTTTCTCTGGTCTGCAGTTTTTAGACCTTGTCAGATTAATTTCATGATTTCTTCTCTGGATTCTGCAGAGGTGGCCATTTCAGTCTTTGAAAAGATGCAAGCACAAGAGATTCTAAGGAATTTGCGCCTTCCAGAACTTGAAGACTTCAGCCAATTTTTCCGAAGCTTGCCAGCTTCCGCCTTGGTGGGCATTGGCGCCTTGGCAGCTGTTATTGCATATTGGCTTGCCAACCGCCCCAAAGCGGTGAAACCACCATGTGATCTCCTAACGCAATCAGAGGAAATCGAGGTGAGGATTATCTTGATAGAACTAAATTTTATGCCATGCCTTTTCTCAGCAGTGCTTTTATTAGCAGACGCTGCTGCTTTTATTGCATTGATCTTTCATCAATATCCCAGAGAGGTTTTTGTGGGCCTTAGTCCTGAGAGACATGCTGTTCTACAAAAGGAGACGTTCGTGTTTAGGTACACGTAAAGATTCTGCAAGAGATTCATAATGTGTATTCTTTGTGTGATGATGTATTTGTTGAATAGATGACTTGATTCTTTTATCAAAGACTGTCTTAGCAAGATGTTCAGGAGAACAACTTGTCTCAAGAAGAGTGGGGCCAACGCTGCAGAAATGGGTCCCACACCTCTATGACAGTGTATGAATTAAGGCAGAATGGTTGGTTTGTCTATAAAGAGTTGTTATTTATGTCTCTTATTACTTGCTTAGAAGAAAGTTAGAAGAAATCAGATTAGTGAATGCTATAATCCAAGTAATACTTCAGCATTTTATCAGTTTGGTGCTGATTAATAAACCAGTTATTTATGGCAGCGCATGCTGAATTGAATTCTGATTCAGGAAAAAGAATATGTTTTGAAAAAGACAGCATTACATATTAATGACATTTTTACTATGTAGGTTTTCTGAATAACATGGATGATGCATTAAAATCCTCTTAGTTTTTGTTTTGTTTTGTTTGTTTGAAACATGCTGTGTAATCCTTGGAGACCTATTTGTAAAAGCACAGACCAAACAAACTAATTAAACTATTGAGATTCCTTTTATAGCAGCTGAGAACCTTTATGATTGTCTTATTTAAAATATATTTCTATTTCCTATGGACATGGTACACATACATTCTTTGATTATGCTGGGGAGTGTTAACTTGGTTATCCAAAAATGTTACTTTGAAGTGTCCCGTGGGTTTGGGCGTGACTCTGCTTGGAGCTTTGAAGTAATTGTAGCTTGCGTGTTGATGAGTTATTGCTAAATCAATTGGGATATTTAATTCAGGATATATCTGGCATTTTTCTTGATGAAAGAACATTAAGGATTCAGTAAGTCAGAGGTGGTTTAACCAGAAAGAACAATTCAGGAAAAAAGAACAGAACCACATATACAGGATTTAAAACAATAGCAACAGCTAAGTTAATATACCACTTTTCAACGGAGAGCTCAAATTAGTATTTATTTCAGTGTTTCTCAACCTTGGCAACTTTAAGATGTATGGACTTCAACTCCGAGAATTCCCCAGCGAGCATGGCTGGCTGGTAAATTCTGGAAGTTGAAGTCCACACATCTTAAAGTTGCCAAGGTTGAGAAACACTGATTTATTTGGTTTCTGCCTTTCCTCCAGGAATTCATGGCAGCTTATCTTAAATTCCTGGAGCTTATTATATTTTCCCTCATTTTATTCCTGTGCTGAGAGATTGGTTGGACTGAGAGTGACTGGCCATAGTCACCTAGAGACCTTTGTATTTGAGTGGCTGTTTGAACCTGGATTTCTCTAGCCTCAGTTCTTAACTACTACATTGTGCTATGGGATATATAATTATACATTAAATTATAAATCATGAAGGCATCTTATTCAGTACCACTATTAGTAGTGTGCAAAATGTTTCAAATTTGAATTGTTTAAATTTGAAATGACACAAATTCAGTCATTTTGAAGGAGTTGTTTTGAGTTCTAAATGGTACATTTGCATTCAAGATTGCCTTCTGGAAGTATTTTAAGCTTGATATTGTTTTGGACACAAATCAACTAATTCAAATTCAAAAACGGCATTTCCAGTTTGAAAAACTTCACATTTTGTATGCCCTTCACCAGTCTCATAAGCTGACTGGCCATTTTGAAACTCAAATGCTAGGCCACAGAGGCTTTGACTAGAACAGGGGTAGGCTACACACTTTCTGGACATTTTCTCCTTCTATAGTCCTATTTGAATGTGCTTTAAGTTTAACGTTTCAAATTATTTGATACTGAACTTCTTTATGTATAATTGACCATTTACAGGTATAGTTTATACCTGCAGCTGGTTCTTACAGGAATATTCTATGACTTTTCAGTATAAAGTATTGAAGGAGTAACATTCTTTTTAGAAGAACTATTCAATTCCTGGATGCTTCCACTGAATTATTTTGCATTCTTTACTGTTTTTCTGCATGTTCATTACTTGTAGCCATATTCTATTTATTAGGCCATTATTTGAATTTAAGTTTCTTCATAGTATTAGAATTCCATCTTTTGAAAATTTGAGCTGATCTGGAGTTAGCTCCTTAGTTATCGATAGATTGAGGAATTCCTTGAACAATTCTTTTTCTGTGACTCTGTCCAGACTATACTATGTCATGCTTCATCTTCCGTGCCACAGTGCTTATTCTTTAAAGCCAAGACTATAGACACAGAGTGTTCAAGGATGGATTCTTCTGAGAAGTCTAAAACGTGGTTCTTCCTTTCCATGTTCTCTTCTATCAGTTGTATCCCACATCTTCCTTCCCAATAGGATTCCAAAGCTATTGGCTCTTACTCTTTGACAATTGACAGAGAGTGAATAGCCCCTGTTTGAAACTCTTCAGGCATCCATGTCTCCTAAATGTTTTGAGGAGAAACTCCACAAAACTAACATTTGATGCTGTGTTTTAGGTCTCCCCCTAATAAAATAAATATACCTTTATTGGGTAATAGTTTCCTGTTTTGATTATTTTATTCTTTAAAATTGTTATCCTACTTATATTCAAATAGTACAGAGAAACAGTGTACACATTAAATTTATACAATAAAAGCCTTTGTCACTCACTGAAACTCATATTTAATTAAATAAGCCTATAGCTACTTAAGTATTTCTGGTGTTCTTCGTGCTCTCTGAGCTTGGTTGTTGCTTGCAGACATTTCATTACCCAACTAGGTAACATCATCAGTGCAGTATTTGTAGCAGGAAAAGCCTCAACAGTCACACCTTTAGCAACTTTCAAAAAGTAATAATAATTAAAATATCATTAGATCTAATCCACTAACAAATTCCATGATGAAGAGCTCTCCGCTGCTGAGATGATGGATAACCACCAGAACAATTTGAGCAGATAAAAAAAAGCACATGCCAAAAGAACATAAGGATATATATGTGTGACGACACACCAATTCACTGTTTGTACTGTAAGCAGTTCAGAGGATCATTAAAAAACAAAGTATTGATCAAGTGTCTTTCTGCTTTTAGGGTTTGGCTGTAGGATATTTTGTTTGGATAGACAGTTTTACATTGAAAGCTTTTGCAAAATGAAAATAGCGTGCTAAAAGTTTCTGTTTATGGTTAAGACTGCAGAACATTTCAAAACTGTAATTTATAGTATTGATTTTTCAGAATTCTTTGTTTTGTACCTTATGTTCTTAAAATATTCCATTGCTGGCTCTGGCAGTGGAACTAAATATGTAATTCTTGAGTTTTGCTACATTTTTGTGTTAACTCCATTGGGGAAGTGGAATGGGCATCAAAACAGAGATTGTTCCATACCCAGTTACGTGCTTCAATCTGGTTACTTTTTTCCCTCCTGAGATATACAGCATCTCTCTCCATGTAAAACCGAACATTTTAACAGAATAATTTTTAAAAATATAGTTCTCTATTGTATTATCATGGATAAATTTAATGGTCCCCTTATTTTATAAATTAAGGGTTAGCATACAGTTTCACCCAACATTTTTGGGGAGAGTATTCCCCTAGTGTGGGTGTGAGTAAGGATAAACACATATACTCCAGTTCATACATATGTGCACATGCACACCTCAATGGTGAATTCACTTTATCTTTGTACGTTTGGGGTTTTGCCTGAGGCAAAGTAAAGAAAAATAGAAACAGATCTGCCTGATATTTTCTTATACCCATGTCTTAGCAGTTCATTCCCAGCAGTTAAAGAAATTGTTGACATATTCTAACACTGAATCCTCTCTGTATTTTAAGTTTGGAGTTAAAAGCAGAATCGTTACCAGGATAATGCAGGGTTTTTGCTTTTTGTTTATCATGCCAGTTATTGATATAAACATAGGAAAAGTGATTAATAAAGTACGACTGATATGTTACATAGCATCATCGGTCAGATTTTACAGAATAATAAGGTACAAAGCCAGTGCCTTATGTTAAGTTGCTCTCAGCCTACACTTTGACCCCAGGAGAGACATTTAAGAGGTGGGGAAGCTCAGAATTACCAACTGAATCTGAGCAAATTTGTATGTAGATTTCAGTTTGTTTGAGGACTAAGAAAAGTTAAGCAAAGTTTTGTTATTCCCAAGTGCAATTTTAATGGCTTCTGTAACTTTGAGAAACTGGAGTGAGGATCCTAGCTACAGATATAATATACCTGTAGGGTATATTTTTTCCCTTTTACAGATTCCTGATCTGCACTTATCTGTATTTCATTGTAGGGCTGGGATGGTGCACGGAGATCTGTAATTGGTGACAACACACATTTGCTAACTCATTACTATGATGATGCAAGGACCATGTATGAAGTTTTTAGAAGGGGTTTTAATATATCTGGTAAGTTTTTGAAACAAGAGGCAACCTTTGATAAGGGGAAATCTTTGATCATAATGAATTTATTTTAAGCAATAATATTCTTGCAGCTCTATATGAAACTGTCCCTTCAGCTTCTACCATAGCTGTAATTAATTCAGGTGCTTTGGCTGAAGTAACTGTATTTAGATGGCAGTTCACTCTTTGGGGCAGTTCAACTTTGCTCTTGAGTATGCTTGGAAAGGCTTGAACTTACCATGGGGACAGTTACAGGGGCTCAGGTTAGTTTAGAAGGACTAGCAGTTACCTCCAATACACATGGTATTTTACTGCTATAAAAGCAGAAATAACAATTAGGTACACATTTTTAATCAGAATTAGGAAACAAGTCACTCTTATTTCTTCAGTCCCCATAAACTGTGGGGCCACAAAGAGTTCTCTTGGAATCTTTCATAATTGAGTGGTTATTTGTAGCTTATTTACAGAATTTATATTCTAGTATTTGGGCAGCTTATGATCAGATAGAAACCCCCAAAACTGCAGGGAAATACCGATCATTCATTCATTCATTCATTCATTCATTCATTCATTCATTCATTCATTCATTCATTCATTCTGGGCTTCTATCCACTCCAAACCGTGCTGACTGTGAGCAGCTTATGTACTTTATGTACCATCTGTAAATCAAATTCATAAGTAACAATTATGCATTAAAATTGTAGGAGGAGAGCTGTGTTAGCCTATGGTAGCCAAAAATCA